GTCGGGGGGGGGAGTCGAGGGGCTTGCCGCTGCTGCCAGCAGGGTCTCAGGCAAGGGTCTCGGGAGCAGCGCCCTCGCGCCTCCATCGGCCGGAAGTCAATGGTCAGGGGCTTGGCGAGCTCCTTATCCTTCGCCGCCTGAGGTCGTGATGGGAGCGAGTGACCGTTACGCCACCACGGCGGCAGCGCCGCGCAGAGACCACCACCTTCGCGGCAGCCGCTGCGTCGATATCCGGTTTCGTCACCGTGTCCTTTGGACCGCTGGGAGTGATATAAACGCCCTCAAGGCCCATATCGCGAATAAGCTTGGCCATTGTCGGGCTCACCTTGACCAGCGACGACATACATCTCGCCGCCGGCACGCCGCATCGCGCTCGCCTCGCAACCGAGAGCATGATCTGTGGCGGCACGGAAGGCGTGAGGTTTAGCACCGGCAACGTTGGATCGGAGATTCGGCGGAAGGCGCGTGATGCGCTCCCTCCTCGCAGCGAGCGGCCCCGCGCAGCTCGCACAGGCTGTGAGTGGGGAGGAGGGGTAGTGGGGAGGAGGAGGAGAAGCGTCCGACCTTCGCGTCGGTGCACCCCCGATGCTCGCCGAGGGACTCGAAGCTAAAAATTCTTTTTTCTGCTTTTTGTGCTCACACAAAGAGTTGGTGTCCAGTCCGAGCCTGGCTGTTCTTCACCTTACTACCTACCTACCTAAAGAGTCTGTGAGACCACGGGCGCTTCCTTTGGCCCGTGTGCAGGCGGGTCGTTCGACGAGGCTCCGCCCGCTCTGAGGGAGGGTGTAGAGGGTGTGAAAGTGTGTGAGAGCGCTGTAGATAGAGCTGTAGAGATGTCAATCATTGTACATGACTAGCGATGTGTTATGTGTGACACACAGTGATTTGGGCTCGGCATAGAGATGTAGAGCGCTGTGTAGAGGCTAGAGCTGTAGAGCTGTAGAGCTCTACATCCGGCGCAGGACGATGTGAGTCCGATGTAGAGCGCGATTTTGCTGTAGATATATAGAGGCTCTACCATGCGGAATTGCTCAAGTGCTCAAGAGGCTCTACATCCAAACCGCCGGGAAGGCAGTGACTCAAAGAGGTCGAGCCGCGCTAATGGGGTGTCTCCGAGCTTACTGGAGCTCTGATGGACGGCCCTGACTATCCCTGACACACAGAGAGTCACTCTGACGGCACATAACACCCTATGACTGCGTCATGACCACAGCCTGCCTCTCACGCCGCGCGTAGGGCCCTTAGGGGCCTAGAGAACACAACCCCCTCTCTCTTTTCTCCCAGTAAGCTAAACAAGTACGCTGCGCGAGCGCGGGTGGCCCCCTCCCCGCCCTTGGCCGCCGGGCGGACGACCGGACCGCGGCTTGGCGCGGCGAGCGAGGCCGACCACGGGGATGGGGGCCGGTGAGGATGGATAGCGTTCGTGTTGTTGGGCTCATGATGTCATGAACGGGAGGGCGGCACCCCCCGGTGGCGCTCCGGCCGGTGTGCGCTTGGGCACGTGGAGTTGGATTCGGGTACTTTGCTGGTATGGACTATGGTATCTGTGGATAAATGGAGTATGTACTTTCACACCCCTTGGGGTGTTCACGAACCACTTGCGGTCATTACGCACTTGTCTCTTGTGCGTTCACGCCCCTTGCGGCGATCGTTCCACCCCCATCAAACTGTTCAAGGAAAACTAAAGGACACGCCAACCCCCCTCTTGACCAATTCTCGGGCTATGCCAGCCCTCTTGTGGCTTCGACGCACACGCTACTTCAGCCACAGAGTCTAGGACAGGTCCATTAAGACTTTTGTCTTTATCTGTTTTCAGTCGCGTGGGGGTGGCTTCTTTTTCCTTTCCGGTTTTATCATGACCTACCACAACCACGTCCGCCGTGGTTGCCACTACCACGTTCGCCGTGGTCCCGTTCGACTCTATGAGTCGTGGTTCGACTCTATGAGTCGCTGGTTCGATCATGAGTTGCCACACACAACACTCCTCCACACGGCGTCCACACACGCGCCACCTTGTGATTTTTGGGTCAAAATCGTCCCGATTTCATAATGTTCGTTCGTACGTGCATCCGCGGCGCCCAGCGCGGTGCCAGCGGCTCCCATACCTCTAAGAGGCCACCCACCTCCGTATAGACCCTTATATCCGCGGTTTACGCCCAATAGAGGCAGCTGCAAGAGGGCCCGGACGGGCACTGCGGCACACACTGCTCGCTGCTCGGCCATGCGGTAGCGTCTGGTGATGCCGCCCCTGCGCGGGCGGGGGCGTCTCGCTCGGCAGCAACTGCGCCGCGCAGCGCAGGTTCGAGGGTCGCGGTGGGTGGGTGCACTGGAAGACGTAGCGGTCGAGAAAGCGCTCAGCGACCGCTACGTCTCGAGGATGGAGCCGTCGCGCGGACCCGACCGGCCGACCGGCAGTAGCAGCAGGCGCCGGAGGGCGCGGGAGGCAGCGGCGACACCTCGGGCCAGAAGCGCGAGCCCTAGGCTGGTGAGGGGGCCCGCTCATGCGTAAACGGCTCTGGGACTTAGCTAAATCGCGCATCGAAATCGGGACGATTTTGCCAGGGCACCGTCACAAGGTGGCCTGACGTGTGTGGTTGTGCTTGTGGTTGCCACGCCCGTTCCCCCTGGTTCGTCAAGCGCCCGCCATGCAAATTCGGCGATTCATATTCATGGGGGAGCGGGGTTGATTACCCGTGTGTAGGTGTGAACGGGGATGTGCCACCCTCAGAACGAGCAGGTACGTACAAGGGCAACAAGGCATATGCCTCAAGACAAGAGGCAAGCAATGACACATCTTCTCGTCGAGTGTCGACGGTGGCGCGTACGCGCCATGGCGGACTCGTGCGCGCCGCATCAGCGATCATCGCCGGCCTGAGAGAAGCGCGGAGTGTCCCTCGCCGAGGGAGGCGTGTCCTGTGCATGCGCATCGAGAAAGCGAGCGTTCGAAGGCGACCAGGCGTAGTTGACAGCGTCGGAGCGCAGCACGTGCTGGCTCCAGATTCGGCGCAGCCGCCTCCGCTTGCACCAGCGCCACAGCAGCCAGCCGGCCACGACGGCGACGGCGCCGCCGCCGCCAGCACATGGAGCGATTATGGTCCAGGGAGCAGAGGGCGCCGGAGCGCCGGAGCCAAAGTCAAAGTCGTGGAGGGCGCCATGGTCGAGGCTGGTCATGCCGAGCGCCCTGGCGGGCTGGCGCGGTTCGTCGCGAGACTGGGGCACCAAGGCAAAACGGAGGTGATAGCGTGCAGGCGCCCCGTGGTGGTTTGCGAACAGATCAACAGCACACACGAAAAACGTTAGGAGTTTTATTTTGCATTGCGGCTTGTGGAGTCCGGCGCCGCGCTGTCGCTCAGTGTCCCTTTCCCAAAGTAGCTTCCGACGTTGCGATGGACATCGACATCGCAGCCTTATCTGAGCGCTGCAAGGCGCTGAAGGCCGAAGCTATCTCGCTCCGCGCAGCGGGCGACAAGCATGGCGCTCTCGCCAAAGTCCGAGAGATGAAGGCGCTCCATGCACAACTCGCAGAGGCGGAGGCGGCGAAGGCGGCGGCGACCGAGGCGGCAAAGGCGGCCGAGGCCGAGGCGGCGCGGGCGGCCGAAGAGGCGGCGCGCGCGGCGGAGGAGGAGTCGGCGCGGGTGGCGGCAGAGCAGGCGGCGGCCTCAGAGAAATCCCGCCTCGAGGAGCAGGCTGCTGCGGAGGCGGCTGCAGCGGAGGCGGCGGCTGCTGAGGCGGCTGCAGCGGAGGCGGCGGCTGCTGAGGCGGCTGCAGCGGAGGCGGCGGCTGCTGAGGCGGCTGCAGCGGAGGCGGCGGCTGCTGAGGCGGCTGCAGCGGAGGCGGCGGCTGCTGAGGCAGCTGCAGCGGAGGCGGAGCGAGTACGCCTGGAGGAGGCCGTCCGAGCCGAGGCCGAGAAGGCGGCGAAGGAGGAGGAGGCGAGAGTGGCTGCTGAGGAGGCGGCGAAGGAGGCGGAGAGGGCGGCGGCGGCAGAGGCTGCTGCTGAGGCAGAGGCAGAGGCTGCTGCAGAGGCAGAGGCGGAGGCTGCCGCGGAGGCGGAGCGAGTACGCCTGGAGGACGAGGCGCGCGAGCAAGCCGAAGCCGAGGCGGCCGCTGCGGCGGAGGCGGAGCGGGTGAGGCAGAAGGAGGAGGATGCCCGTCTCAGGGCGGAAGAGGAGGAGGCGGCGGAGGCGGAGGCGGAGGCGGAGGCGGAGGCGGCAGAGGCTGCAGCGGTGGCGGAGGAGGAGCGGGACAGTCTCGACTCGCTCGACCACCTCTTCGCTCGACCACCTGACGCTGAGGCTGCTGCGGCGGCGGCGGTTGCGGAAGAGCGCCTGTCCAACGGCTGCAGAGATGGCCCCGCGCTCCAGGGTGTGGCGGAGGAGGAGCAGGAGCAGCAGGAGCAACAGGAGGCAGAGGAGGAGCAACAGCAGGAGCAGAAGCAAGAGGACGAGGACGAGGACGAGGGCGAGGGCGAGGACGAGGCGGTGGCAGCGGCCATGGCGGCCGAGGCGACGGCGGCGGCGTGGAGGGCGGCGGCGGGCGAGAGGCGCGGCGGTTTTGAGGTTGCCGCGGCGGCCGAGGTGGCATCTCTCAAGGCGCAGCTGTCCGAGGCAGAAACAGAGCTGGGCCGGTCGCGCGAGGCAGAGGCGGAGGCGCGTGCGCGCGTGGCCGAGGTCGAAGTCGAGCTCTCCGCGGCGGGAGAGCGCGGTGGCGCGGCGGCGGCGGCGCACGCGGCGGAACTGGAAGCGGTACGCGCTCAAGGCGAGGCGGCACGGGCGGAGGTGGAGGCCGGCTTCCAGGCGCAGCTCGAGCTTGACCTCCGAGACACCTCCGAGACACCTCCGAGACACCTCCGAGACACCTCCGAGACACCTCCGAGACACCTCCGAGACGCCTCCGACACGCCTCCGAGACTCACCTG